ACCCTAAAGCCCAAACCCTAAAACCTAAACCGTAAACCCTAAACCCTAATTAAACCCAGAACCAAACACCTGCCGAGGAGCAAGTCATCAAGAAGCACGGCACCGACGAGGTCCTCACCAAGTTCGACCTCAAGCACGGCTTGATGCTGGACCAGGCAGCGAGAGTCCGAAGCCGTACTTGGAGGATCATGGGACTTAGTAAGTAAGGTTATAAGTCCCTTAATTGGGGTTATAAGCAAATATAGGTATAGTTACCTTCATTACAACCCTACTTACTAAGTCCCATGATCCTTTAAGTAAGCTGTCCAACATGTGAATGCATATCGTCTGGATAGGTGACGGTAGGCCTTGAGAAGGGCTACTAAGCAGAAAACCCTACCAAAGAGATACCATACTCCCACCCCCTAAACCCTAAACCCTAAACCCCTAAACCCCTAAACCGGGTGTTGGAGTCTGTGATACCTATTTCTGGATGAGTGCCGGCATTCTTCCTCAGGGTTCCATTTGGGGGTTTCCGAAAATAAGGGACCCTAATATAGTACCCTAAATAATAGGATCCTTATTATAAGGACCCCAAAATAATGTACCCCTTATTTTCGGGAACCCCCATTTATGTTACAATAAACCCTTAAGCCCTGCTGTATAAGCATTTACGCCACTATATCTCACATCCTTGAACCCTAAAAACACTTGTAACAAGCCCTTACCCATAAACCCTAAACCTCAAACCCTAAACCCTTGCAGAGCCCCCTTTTTAAAACTAAAGGAGCCCTCGAAGGAAGCCTATGCTAGCTAAACCCTAAACCCTAAACCCTAAAGGTGCAGGCGGGCGGCCGCATCCCTTTGATCATCGGCCGTGGGCTCACCAACAAGGCCCGCGAGAGCCTCAACCTGGGCATGTCCACCACCTTCAAGCACCTCGGCTTAGGGTTTCGGTTTTTCGGGTTTCAGGGGTTTCAGGGTTTCAGGAGTGGGGTTTTAGGGTTTCAGGGGTTTAGGGTTTAGGGGTTTCAGGGTTTCGGGGTTTAGGGTTTCAGGGGTTTAGGGTTTAGGGTTTCAGGGTTTAGGGGTTTTGGGTTTCAGGGGTAGGGCTTTAGGGGTTTAGGGGTTTAGGGTTTCAGGGTTTCAGGGTTTGGGGCTTAGGGGTTTAGGGTTTCAGGGTTTACGGGGTTTAGGGCTTAGGGGTTTAGGGCTTTAGGGGTTTAGGGTTTAGGGTTTCAGGGTTTAGGGCTTAGGGGTTTAGGGTCTAGGGGTTTAGGCTTTAGGGGCTGGCTTTAGGGCTTTGGTGCGCGCTTCAGGGTTGAGGGATGAAGGATTAGGAGTTTAGGGTACCTTCAAGAAGCAGGGGTGGCTCTAGACGGTAAAGCCCTAAACTCTGAAGTGCTAGACCCGAAAACCCTAAACCCTAAAACCCTAAACTTGTGGCTCGAGGATTTCGTTTTTTTTTTTGTTTTGGCCGGCTTCGGAGTTTATGTTTTTTTGTTGTTTAGGGGGTTCCTGTTTTAGAATGCCTTTCAGGGGTATAGGGTTTAGGGAGTAAGGTTTTAGGGTTTAGGGAGTAATGTTTTAGGGTTTTGGGTTTTGGGTAAAGGGCTGCTTTGGAGCCCAGGCAGATGGCCCAGCCAGATGTCAACGTGAAGGGCTTCACGCTGGCTCAGAAGATGGTGGGCAAGGCCGAAGAACGGTTTATCTTTTCGGATGGGTAGTTTTCTAAATTAGGGTCCCGTTGGGGGTCCTTTTTATGAGGGTGCCTTTTTTGTTGTGTGTTTCGGGTCCTGGTGTATGTTATGTGAATACCTCCACGGCAGCCAAGCCGGGCCTCTCCAAGAGCAAACGGTCGCAGGGATGGTGCTCGTTCCATGAAGTCATCCAGCTGAATCGAACTCTCGTGCAAAACCGCGCAGCCCTGTTTCCAAGGGAGGGGCAGGGGTGAGTTACACGTTTGTACGTGCATAATATATATATATATATATATATGCTTATATATATATATGTATGTATGTATGTATCTCTCTCTCTCTCTCGTTCGCTCTGCGAGTGTAGATAAATAGATAGATAGATAAATAAGTAAATGAATAATATATATGCACATATATATATATATATTAGGTGTTTTGTCGTTTGTTGTTGTTTCTTTCATGCGGGCGCAGCACTCAAAGCCCAATACCAGAGTGTTTAATTCTGTGCCAGAGGCTATTCCTTTTCGCAAAGTTATAAATGATGTGGGTACTACTACTACTACTACTACTACTACTACTACTATTACTACTACTACTACTACTACTACTACTACTACTATGTAGTTGTAAGCTGGAAACACTTTCTTCATTTCAACAGCTCCAGCAGACCACCATAGGCACGAGGTTGAGCGAGTGACACCAGAAGGCCACAACTGACCCCTGGAAGCCTGCTTTCTTATCCAGGCCTGTGGCGTTGACGGCGTTGTGCCGGGAGCCTACTGCGAGCCCCGCATGGGAACCTTGGATTTGTTACTGGAGCAATAGTCTTCTCAAATCGTAGCAGTGATGATTGATAAGAGTCTCTGGGTGTAAGGGACCTCCGAGAATGCTGCCATGCAGGCCTGCACCAGAAATGTTTTGCTGAACCCCAATATTGGCCCTGAACCATAGATTCTCCAGCACTATGAAACATCCTACAACAACGCCAGAACCCTAAACCCTCAACTCCCGGCCATAAGCCCTATCTTCCTGAGCCGGAAAGCGTTTTTGGCCGGCGGAAGCAACTCTGAGGAACTGTGGGCTCTCAGGACACCACTGGGCCCATGACTCGCGCTGCTCGGGTAAACGCCTTGGGGCTTCATTTCTTCGCAAGGGAAGGGGCCGAATGATTGAGCCTTCGGGTTTTTTGTTTACTTATTGCGGTTTAGGATTTAGGGATTAATATAGGGGCCTAAATAAATACACTACTGCGGGGGTTCCTGATAAGAATTATAGTATAATGGGCCCCAAAACCGTATTCTGATTATTAAGGCCCCTACATTAATGGTTGGAAAGTTCAGGGCCCCCTGTTGTTTTTTGAAGTTTCCGGGCTTATGGTCTAGAGGTCATGCTTCAGGCACCGCGCTGGGCACATTGGCGCATTGACGGCGCAAGCCCGTGGTTCATCAAAGCTTGAGACCCCTAAACGTTGAGCCCTAAAACGCAACTACGCGCCAACGAGTTCACGTCTTCCTAACCTTAAACCCTAAACCCAAACCCTAAACCCTAAAACCTTAAACCCCAAACCCCAAACCCTAAACCCTAAACCCTAAACCCTAAACCCCTAAACCCTATGACCTTAAACCCTAAACCCCTAAACCCTAAACCCTGAACCCTAAACCCCTAAACCCTATAACCTTAAACCCTAAACCCCTAAACCCCAAACCCTATAACCTTAAACCCCAAAGCCCTGAAGCCTCAAATGCCTAGCCCTGATCCCCACCTCTTTTTGTTCCGATCCTAGGGGCAGCCAAAACCATCCCGAGCTCACAACATCCTTCAATCCTTGATTCTGTGGGCCGGGGATTTCAACAGCGAAGCCCTAAACCATAAACCTAAACCCTAAACCCTAGACCCTAAACCCAAAGCCCCCCAAAATCCCCTAAACCCTAAACCCTAAACCCAAAGCCCCTGAACTGCGAGGAGAACCTCAGACTCTCAAGCCCTCAACTCCGAACGCCCCCAAAACCTCAGACCCCGACGCCCCAACGTAGAAGCCTTGCAGCAACTTTTCTTGTAGAGCCCTTTTGCCAGAAGTCTAAACCCTAAAAATCTTAAGCCCCATACCCTAAACCCCCATAACCCCTAAACCCTAAACCCCAAAACCCTAAGCCCAAAACCCTAAACCCCAAA